TTGGTTGGGCGGAATGGCCTGCCGATAGTGGATCCCCTGCCTATCTGGCAGCTCGTTTAGCATCATTTTACGAACGTGCCGGTAAAGTGAAGTGTCTTGGTGGACCTGAACGTAGTGGAAGTGTCACGATTGTTGGTGCCGTTTCTCCTCCTGGTGGAGACTTCTCTGATCCTGTGACTTCTGCCACCCTTAGCATTGTGCAGGTAAAAATAGAATTTGTGGCCTTTTTTGTATTTTTTTTAAGGTGTACCTATCCAGGCATGTTGTGCAAGCTGATATGTCTTATTGTAGTACTTCTTTTCCCATTTTCTCTCTCTATATTTCGATATGTTTACCATTTTGTTTTTCCCGCAGGTCTTCTGGGGTTTGGACAAAAAGCTTGCTCAGAGGAAGCATTTCCCTTCTGTTAATTGGCTGATTTCCTACTCAAAGTACTCAACGGTATGTCCAGGACTTTTCAGTATGTGGCGAACTGACTTTTATGCTGATACTCCGCGCATTGTTTTCAGTTTTATGCTCTAGTAAAACGCTTCTTGTGTATTCCAGGCATTGGAATCTTTCTATGAGAAGTTTGATCCGGATTTCATTAACATCAGGACGAAGGCCCGTGAGGTGCTACAGAGGGAAGATGATCTCAATGAAATTGTCCAGGTATGTCTCTCCTGTTTGAATATCATTTCAACTCCTGGAAAAATGAAACGTTTTTTTATCATTCCAAATACATTTTGGCATTACTTCTTAAAGGTTTTCGACCTTTGTACATGGTTCAAATTATGGAAGGAAATCATTCTGATCAGATCTTAAGATGTTCTGAAAGATCCTGCTTTGAACCCAAAGCCATGGCCTTTTTCTCGATGCAGCTTGTAGGAAAGGATGCTCTGGCTGAAGGAGACAAAATCACCCTGGAAACGGCTAAGCTATTGAGGGAAGACTACCTCGCTCAAAATGCGTTTACACCGTAAGTTTTGGTTTTCTGTTGCTTTATTTTTACCCAGTCGTTCGTTACTTATAGGAACAGGGAACTTACTGTGTGTGCTTCTGGATGAACGTGACAGATATGATAAATTCTGCCCATTCTACAAATCCGTGTGGATGATGCGTAACATTATTCATTTCTACAACTTGGCTAATCAGGTACCAAGATGGATCATAAATTATAAACTGCCTCCTCGATACCCCATGCTCGGGATATTTTGTTTGGGCCGGGTTCTAATGTCAATTTATTTTTCTGATAAACAGGCGGTTGAGAGAGCAGCTGGAATGGATGGTCAAAAGATTACTTACAGCCTCATCAAGCATCGGTTGGGAGATCTTTTCTACCGTCTAGTGTAAGCAAATCCGCATTCCTCTCATCGTATCTCCGTGAATTTTGCCGTTCTTGTGGTAAATGGCCATCTGGTTTCTACGCGGTTTGATTTCATTATAATACAAGATTACATTACCAAAGATTTGTTCACTCGAACACATTCTTCTTTAGTTTGCTCTGCTCAGTTTTCGTGTTTAGGTTGGTCTGAATCATTCATTATACACGGTCGATATACCAATTCTGTGTTTTGGTTAATGAAAAAACGCAGGTCTCAGAAGTTTGAAGACCCAGCTGAGGGAGAGGAAGCTCTTGTGGCGAAATTCAGGAAACTGCATGATGATCTGACAGCCGGTTTCCGTGCACTTGAGGACGAAACTCGATAAACTGTTTCTGCAATTCGAAACTTTCCCCCGAGGCATCCGGAGCCACCGTTTCAATTCAGTTTGGCGATATGTATGCGCATCTGGTTGTTTTAGTGTGATCTCGCAATGCAGGATGGTCCTGGGCGATTGAGAAAGAGGTTCGAACACAGGGTTTTGAGCGAACGATTCGTAGTCGGAGTTTATTTATCGGGTTTCCCTTTTGGTCGAGTTGTGGGCTGTGATTTCAGCTTTTGTACACTTGGCCGTGTAATATGTTTGTTTGGAGTGTTCCATTTCTTATTTCCTCTTTGATAAAAATAAGGTACGTACAGTCCAAAGTGAATGTAATGTCTTTTTTGTCTCTGTGTACAATAAGTTCCATGTCTCTTTTTTTATTTAAAAGATTTATCATTTATATCAACTTGATTAGGCATTATATCAAAAATACCCTTAAAATGCTACCAACTTCAATACCTACCCTTGTGACCAATGTGACCGAAATATAGTGTGGTCACATATTGATCTCATTGTTCATAACGTTAAATTTATGATGTTTTAATCAAATGATTAGTAAGATATACAAGGTATGAACATAATGAATTAGTGTGATCACCATAAATTTAACGTTATAATCGATAAAAATCAAAATGTGACCATACTATATTTCGGTCACATTGGTCACATGTGACCAGGGTAGGTCTTGAAGTAGAAGTAGCATTTTAAGGGTATTTTTGATAATGACCCACTTGATTATCATATAATATAAAGTTTTGATCCGGATATGTTTATACTATATATATATATACTATTCGGTTTAATTCTCATTAAGATCCGGATAAAGTTTTTATCATTCTGTTGACTAAAGAATTTTCCATTACAAACCCAAAAAGAGAGCATTCTATTCTATCTACATTTCAAGAGGACGACGAGGGATCCGCCACGCCCTTAGGGAAAATCACCCAAATAACCCACTTGGGTCGCATCTATTTCAGTGTACACCACCAAAAAAAAAAAATTTCAATTTTAATCCACTTTTCGGTTGGAGAAGTCCGAAATACCCTTTTTCGTTTTATTTTTTACGACCTTATTACGACTAACATATAACTGATATACAACTAAAAATAAGACTTTTGCCACCTTTTTTAGAATCAATTGTAACTATATTTAGACTTAATTACGAAGTCGTAATAACGAAGTTGTTTTCGAACGGATAAATATCGTAATTCATTAAGGCTAATTTCGTCTTTTCGCATGGAAAAAAATGTGTTATGTGGTGGTGTACAAGTGAAATAGATGCGACCCAAGTGGGTTATTTGGGTAAAAAACCGTTATTTGGGTAAAAAACCCACGCCCTTAACGGCGGACAAAACATGGCCAAACCCTCTCATGACGTGAGGCCAAACGGCGTTCATCCCCGCACAAGAAGCCAGCCCTAAGACAAACGTCTCACCATACCCAGGCTTCGAATCCAGCTTCGCTTCGACGACGGCGAGTCTTCCGTTAACGGCGTCTATCTTCCTCGATGCGTCGGCGAAGACCTTGCTCTTCTCATTGGCGTTCCTGGACGACGAAACGACGCGTATGAGTGCGTTCTGGAGGTCGCCGATGACCTTGACGGAGGCTTCGGCTGGTTCGATTCCTCGTTCCTGGTAGCGAGAGATTAGTTCCGCCGGTGTTGGGACTTTCCTCGGACCACGTTTTGCCCCTGTCTGGTTTTGGTTGGCTTGGGTTTCCTGCTCTGCGTTTGATCTCCATGGCTGCTCCATTTCACTTCGCAGAGGTAGAGCGACCAAGCAACTATGAGATTTTGATTTTCTTTTTCCCTGCTGAAGAAAGGTTATGGATAAGCCATTTGATTATTCAAATGGGCCACAGATATTGGACCTATTGGGCCTTAGCTCAATATAGTGGAAAGATTGTCCGAGTATTAATTTTTTGGATTGACACTGTATTACGTGTCGTGATTTTATTGGGTGTGACATGTCAATGGAATTCAAACGTATGCATCGAAAATTACTATGGAAATTATCGATAGGGAAAATGCCTTCGAAAATTATACCAAATTAATTCGCTCTGAGAAGTCATCGGATTTACGGAGAGACTGCGTTTCTTCGGCTAGGACAAGCTTCGTTAATGGCGGTTTCCTTCTGATCACTCACCGGAACTGTAATTTCTCTTCTATTAATTCGTGAATTAGGGTTTTCTAGCCTGTAATGGAAGAACTATTTGTATGTGTTTTTTTACCAGGTAAAATTTTCGCAAATTTTCCATCTTTTCTGAACGCACTCAGCTCTCGTCTAGATAATGGCGATATATATGAGTACGAATTCAGATCTGACGTTGTTTCTCGATGGAAATCTTAGTGTTTGGTCGATGAAGATAGATTCGAAGTCCCCGTGTATTTTCCTCTGGATTTTTTACTTCAAATTTTTGCTGTGAATACCTGGGGAGCCGGGCCGCCTTTTGGCATACGGGAATCACATGCGAGTGAAAGATAAATGTGCCAAAGGCTAATGGTAGACTTTCGTTGTTTGGCATTATTTTCTTTCCGCAAATTGGTTTCTCTTTGTTGATAGGATGAGTTTGCTATACTTTTGCATTGTAAAGTTGGTCGTCTGTTGAAGTTTTAAGGGATTGAATATGCTTTGGGACAGGCTGTAGATAAAGAGAAAGCTTAGGACTTTATGCTTCGTATTGCATTCTGCAGGCAGAGTAATGACCTCTTTCAGCACTTCTCTGTTTTATTTCAGAAACTTATCTTATACCAGAAACTATCGATTAGAAGTTAATGCTCTGATTCTAAGACCGCCCGAGGAAATTTGAAGAAGTCATGGAATCAAGATATAGCCTGGCTTAGCCATAAGGATTAGCTTGCCCTCATCATAATGTTCTAAACATTTAGAGGGCAAAATATAGTGTAACAAAATTCAGCGTCCAAGTTCTGGGGCCGAGTTGCCCCATAGCAACGACTTTACCCCTTTGCCCATCGTCCGGAGGGCGAATTCATTGCAAAACATGATGATGGATGAAGACATTGAGAAGGCCAGTCTGTTGTCTTACAGTGACAGGCCGAGGACTTTCCCAGACATGCGTAGTAAATCCTATACTCCGCTGGTAAGATACCACATCTCTTGTCTTTTGGTTCTATATGGTGTTTTGTGATCCTGCACCATAACATTCGTGTGTGTAATCACATTTGTTGATTTTGTAATGGGTTTGTGTGCTTTTTGTCGTAGCGTCTTAGTTCTTATTACCTTTTCCCTTCTCGTTTCCTGATGTCTTAAAACATACAACTTGTATTTTGTGCAGATATTCCGGATTCTTAGGAGTCTAAATGTCCGTGTTCTTTCTATACTTCTGCTTTTTTGCCTTGGGGCAATCTTTTACATGGGAGCTAGTACTTCCCCCATCATTGTGTTTGTCTTCACAGTATGCATCATCAGCTTCCTGTTGTCAATATATCTGACTAAGTGGGTATTAGCAAAGGATGAAGGGCCTCCAGAGATGGTCCAGGTAAACTAATTCCTCGGTTTTACAGTGGTCGTGATGCTGAGTTTCTTTCATATTTGTAGATTCACTTATGTTTTCATTTTTCAGTTCTGAGCTTATTCTTTTACATCTAGATATCAGATGCTATACGTGATGGAGCTGAAGGCTTCTTCAGAACTCAGTATGGTACAATATCCAAGATGGCATTCCT